GGAAACTAACTTGAGGCTAAAAAGCACGAGTAATTATCATCGTCAAGCCTTTGCTTCATTGACCACGTCTAAGATGAAGCACCTCAACTGTTAGCCAACTAGATCTAGTCTCCTCCGCATCTAGCATGCTTGTAGCCATAGTGCCAAGTCTCTGACGTTTTATGGCCTAGTCTCTTGTGTGCCAACACACAAATCTACAAATTCTACTTGTTTTAATTAGGTTTAATATACCCACAATGGCACACAAGAGACTATGGCATATGAAGTTATATACTTGGCACTATGCGGCGAAGACTAGAGCTAGTTGACTAACTATAAACCAGTTTGATGATAGGCGTGTTCCGTGAAGCAAAGGATTGACCATGAGAATTACTCGGGCTCTTAGCCATCAAATGCCTGAGACAAAAGGGGAAATAACGCTTCGAGTAGTACAGATAGGGTGACAGGGGTCGAGTGAAATACCCGAACAAGGGAGGTAGGAGGCTAATCATACGGGGCAAGAGGGAGACTCTGATAAGACCTATGGAGAGATGATTGTGTGGTGAGGGGGGTTGGACAGTTTTCATGAAATCCACTAAAAAAGGGCACACCATACCACATTCTAACATGCAACTAATAAATTGTGATAATGAGGAGATGATACCAAGATATAGGATTGGTGAATAGCCCAGGGCAGAAGGAGCTATACCACAATTGTTTAGCAGATAATTAGTCATAAGATCGGCTTCACTTGTCTCTTTGACGAGTTGTAGTATCGTGCTAAAATTAGCAAGGCTCACTGACAATGCCGACTGCGATACCAGCAAAGCATCTGGGAATATACCACGTCTGTGGTCCGACACTGGTAATTATCATGTAACATAGTGATTCCCAAACTGTGCACCGCGGCCTCTTTACAGGGGCGCCGCGAAATATTGTAAAAGCTTCATAATTAAGTTAACCCAGACAATTGGCCGAACTAAACAAAAACGTAAGAGAAAACGCTGCGTATTCTCGTTTGCGCCATATGATCGCAATGCACACATCAAGGTGCGTAGAACATTCGCGATAGATTCGGAATGTTATGGAAGATCTTGTGGAAAGTATCTAAGCGTTGCCGGCTCGATTTAGTCAGTCGACTTATAATTTGAGTCTAGTAAAGTTAAACTCAGCGCTTCATATATAAATAAATAAACAGTGACGTAAATTAGTAAATCAACGTGGAAAAGAAAATGAGGGGGGCCGTGTCCAGTTTAATTCCACGATTTGAGAAAATGTGCAGTGATTTGCAGGCTCATCCATCACATTAA